ATTCACCTAGGCGCTCTAATTAAATCTGAAATTACTGCATCTAATTTTGTATTCTGTTTAGTTTCGGAATTTTAATTACGTTCTTTTAGTATTTTTTAGGAGTAATAAATAAATTAATAAAATAAATCGACGCTTTAAAATCATAGACTCATCATAGAAACGTGATATTAGACTAAAGTCATTTTAAAAACTGATTAAAGGATCTTGCATGGCCACATCAGACATAGTTTGAACTTATAGCACGTCTTTCCATTACCACTACGCTTAAGAATTCGTATCTCAATTTATGACATTAATCAACGAATTTTCGGTGTTATTCTCGTTCTTTTCTATTTTTCTACCTTTTTAATCTGGATAGAAAAAGAAAAAATAATCCTAAATAGATACTACCATAGATAGTAGCTGTATGTGTGATATTGGCAAAAGTTATTTACACAGAACATTTTTCGTCCCGGAAGTAGAGTCCAACAATTCCAGCTTGCGTCTTTGGAAAATTATAAAATTTGTTGTTGGGAATTTTTATTCGTTTTATGATAACCCCTATAAATTAAAAAACAAAGATAATATAGATGCTACGCTTGAGTTACTCTTATTGGTATACGTTATTAGTATTACATTTGTTTTTTTTTTGCGAAAATGTGGATGCATAAGCCATAAGTACAGGAGTATGTTATTTTATAAAATTTTACCAAGCAAAATATTGAGATGACGTCATCAAATTGTGGGTGGAGATGATTAGATAAATTTTGATTAGCGTTTTATTATCTGTACGATAATAAAAATCGACAGACGAACGGAAATGAGATACCTATTTTATCACACTCTAGGGCTCGGGGCCATGAAATGTGGGGAAAACATGAAAATAGACATTCGTTCGATGGACCTTATTACAATACTTCCTTAGCTTATGCCTGTAATATGAATTATTTTACTACTGCAAAAAAAAAAAAAAAAAAACAGCCATTGCAATCGATCAAAGTGAAATTTGTCACACAACAAATTGTATTAAGAAAAAACCAGATTAGCTAGAAGTACACTGGTTGATACATTGTATACTTAATTATATATGTCATTAGATTTTTCACTACGGGTTGTAATTTTACAAAAATTCAATATTAAAAACTAATATTATATACTCCAGAAAAATGCCGGAACATTGTTTTTGTCTTTGACATTTCATGTTTGTTTATGACGTTATTAACTTTTAAATTACATATTATAAGCAATGTTGATTACACTGTTGAGTAATTTTTACCAATAAATCCACACTAAACGCATATGATTTACAAATTTTTTTCAGACATAGAAGACGATAAATATAGAAACATGTACTCCCAAAAATCCCCTTATTATTAATATTATTTTAACGGATAACAAAAAAAGGTCGATTTCCAAAAATGTTTGTGCTGAGGAGGCGTTTACTTCTTTAAAATCCGTCTTAACTTTATCGAAAAAAAAACTTTTAAAATATTTTTTTTTATACTTTACAAAAATTATAATGCTCAATATATATGTACTTTTAATTTTAACGTTTGTTGAAATTAAAAGTATAAACGTCAAATCTCTTAGTATTAATAAACAGTTTAAGTTAAAACCATACGGTATAAGTATTTTTGCAACGATGAGTAGTACCTCAGGGTACTGTTTACTGTTTTAGAGATCCTAAGTTTGAGGGCCGGTTTATCAATGCGCAGTTAAGTTAAAGTAACTGGCAGTTAAAGCTTGTCTGTTAGTTAACCTGTTTATCATTGCCCGCTAGCTCAGAACTGGTGGTCAAAGTGCCTGATAAATTAACTGACAGTTCAAACTGTCAGTTAAAGCGGTATCCATCAGTTAGTGGCAACATAACCTAACAAATCCAAATAAATCTGTTATTAATTTAACAATATTTTGATGAGGACTATGTTGTGGAACAAATTGACAGAGAAGATGAGAAAAAAACTTATTATTAGCCGATTATTTTCCAGGTCTAATGTAGGTACCAAAAATGAAAAACCTATCTAATAATACCGCGAGATCGAAAAAGAAATTAATCGAAGTTGGCCATGCTCCATGCACAAGCCGTTTGTCGTAATTTAAATTTTTGTATTAAATGTCAAATTGACAGTTTACAATTAGAATTATGACACCTACTTTTAAAATACATAAAAATGAATCAAAATCACCGTTTTCCAATTTTGTCCAAAATTCATCCCATTTCTGAAGTAAGATTCTAATAACAAAAAAGCTTTAATTTCGTTTGATAACAGTGCAAATTACTTTTGTCAACGTGACGTTTAATAAAAAATTATTTTAAACTAAGACAAACGCCTTTTCGTGCATGGCCAACTTTGACTAATTTCTTTTTCGATCTCTCTGTATTTATTTATAGGTGTACCTACTTGTTTCATTTTTAATTTCCAATACTTTTTTTCTAATGCTAAATTTTGCTTTTTCATGATTGATCACGTGAAACGCGATATACAATCGTTGAATACCGAATGCGGATCGAATCTGATGGAACTTTCAAGGTCGGGGTAGTTTTGAAATGACCAATCACAACTCATTTCCAGTGGGGTGAGCGTTACCAACTTAAGAGAGTAACAGCTAAACTTCGAGCTACGTAACTGGAAGAAACATCGTGCATTGATAAACACTTTACCTCCGTTAACTGCTAGTTACCCTTATCTGACAGTTACTTAACAGACACTTTTAACTGAGCATTGATAAACCGGCCCTGAGTCACGTAAAACACCCAGTTTGAACAGTCACATTTTGTTTAAAAGTAAACATATATTTGTAATTTTTTGACACTGTTTTGTGAAAATATCTAGTAAAAATCTGGATAGTGCAAATGTCTAAATAACGATTAGACATTTAAATGTGGATTTTCTAGAAAAAATTTCCAAAATATTTTACTTATCCGACTCATTTACATTAGGTAATGAGGTTAATAATGCTGCACTAATGTTGTAACACGAATAGAATTATCTTTAAGTTAATTACATTAATTTTAAGCAAATTCTAGTCACAGATAAAATTTTGTCATTTTACACGTTAACAAAAAAAAGTATTATCGCACTCGTATTATTATCCTACTCAGTCAGCGCTTCGCTGGGAGTAATCTTCTGTTCAAGCATTTTTGTTAAAATTATTCTAACGAATCTCTGGGTTCAAGTTTCTATAAGATTATTATTATTAATACCCATTATTATAATTTGGAAAATACAGCTTTTTTTATGAACCTGTGGCAACAGGGAATTTTTTGTTTCGTACAACGTTTTAAACATAATTTTAGGTTATCAATTCTAATTTTTGAGATCGTAACTAAAACTGCAATATTTTATAAAGTTTTTCGTGGAATGAAAAGTATATTAAATAATAAAACATTTAAATCTTGTCAGTTTCACGTAAACTGGCTATAATGTGAACCATTACCACTAGAAAATCTACGTAGCTGACAATATTGAGATTTACTAGAATAATTTTAAAATTTTGTTAAGACTAAAAATTAACTTCGTTGTCACTTTTTACATTAAAAATTATTGCTGTCAGTATAAAAAATCTAAAAATTCCAAGACTGTATAACGTCAACTTATTTTAGCTAATATATTTGTTTACCAAGTATGTTGCAGACCGTTGTGGTTAAACTTTCCGGAAAAAGCAAAAACTCGTTTGAAGAAATGCCACACAATTAAAGACGAAGAATTATGTTTGTGGATTATATAAAATTTAACCTAATGGATGTAACACAATTGGGAATTTGCAAATGTTGGATAAAGAAAATATGCGAGATCAATAAAGCCAACACACGAACAGGACTTTGAATTGTACGAAAGTATTGTCTAAGCAGACTGAACCAGCACGAGTAACGGAATGTTGAGTGCGACAGTCAGTAGACGGTTTGTTGTATGTTGAAAGTATGTCAAATAAAGGTTCTTTGGAGAAAAACTGAAATTCAAACAATTCGTGTAATGTATAAATGAATTCTCTATTCAAATAACATCCTAGTGGGCCGAATGTACCGGAAGTTTGAACAAATTCCACCCTAACAAGATCTCCTTGTTCGTGTATTTCGCAGCGGAAACAATTTTTTGAAGTAAGCAGTTTCATAGAGGAAGGAATCGATACGCACTGCCGACAATAACATCGTTGGTCACTGCGTATTTGTTGACGAGGTCGTCAAAGTATGTATTTAAGGAGTCAGGTGCAGTTAGGAATGCTATACTCAGAAGTGAGAGGGCGTGTATGTATGTTCTCCTCGAATAACCGCAGGATCCAGGCCATCGCAACAGGTTGTCGCGATTATGTGTGTGGAGACACCATTTATTACGATCTCGTAGTTTTTTAACTCTATAGTCGCGGTACTAATTGATTTATTTTGAAAATGCAGACCGATTTCAACTCATGAATTCTTTGCGTTCCTTTCACGGAAATTCCTCAGGTAAGACTCACCTCGAGTTCGTCGCCTCGAAAGAATTTCATATTTCCCCGTGGAATTTTATTAGTGCAAAATGAGTTTTGCGAATGTTGGAAATAAAAATAATCTGACCATTTGATGTGGGCAAGCATGATTCACATGTTCAATTTAGAGGGAAACGTCTCATTGAATTATGGGATACATCCGGATACACTCTGTACGTTGTTTTATTTTAGAATTTGGTTTAGGAGTGTTTATTTACAGTAGGTAAATTCGTATTAATTTGCTGGAATATGTTAATGATCGAAGAGTCGGACGCAATTTTGTTATTAAGAAGGCAACGACCCCGCACGGTTAGTTTACTTTCACCACCTATATCCTGAAGTACTCTCGAAACTTGCGAAAATTTAATTTGTTATTTTTTAATTAACCACTAATGCTTTAATTAAAGCTAACTTAGCCTTAACGAAGAAAGCGCCGACCCCCACACACGGAACGCACGGTAGTCCTTTTAAAAACGTTTAAATCTCAATTCTTTGAATTTCTGCGAAAAAAGGGGTCGGAACTTTCTTTGACGTACAGACGTGAAACGTGCACTTACACTGGCAAAAATCCTGTCGCAAATCATCACATCGACTTCCAAGTTGTTATACTTTTTTTTTTTCAAAACACACCAACGTTTTCCGACGCGGATAATTTTGTTAACACAAAACACATATACCTCACATTACAATCTGACTGATTTGGGTCTCGGGTAGACGACCAGCGGGAGAGTTCAGTTCACTTGCGTACTTACGTGTCGTTGCAGACCGAGAACGATCGAGTATGTGCGAGAATCCACGATTCAAAAGCAACCACTGAATAATAATCGCTGTGGAATGCGCTGGTTCCACTGAATACTCAATGCACTCACTTCGAAATGAAAAATTTGACCTGGATTCTCAATAATTATTAGGAATAATGTACTCTCAAACTCGCCTTCGTAACTTGTAATCCACAGAATGGCGATTTCTAACGCAATTTTGCGGTAGGTAGTGGCATGTAATGCTGCAACTTATTCAATACCTAGTTCAACACTCGCTTCGTTCTAGTTTCCTGGTTTTGTACAGTTGGCAGTGTTGCGATGGGTAAAATGACCATTGGAATAAGTAACACAATGAAATAAATACCGAACTAATGATATTTATTGTGGCGGTTTTAGCACACGTACTAACGCGATCTCTTGTTTCATATGCGATCGCAGCATAAGGAACTCGAGAGGCGGTTATGCTTATCGCTAAGTGCAATAACCAAATTTCTCTTTTTGTTACGTTATTCGGTTATTCACCGATTTAGCTATTTTTACAGTGGTTGAATGATTCAACTAGTTTTGTCTGTTACGGATTTTTAGCGTTAAACAAGTAAAGCTACATTCAAAAACGGAATGGATAGCGTAACGATTAGTGATCAAAACTCAAAACTAACACAAAAGACAAAACATAATCTACCAACTGTGAAATCTGAAATGGAGTAGCAGTAAACAACTTGAGGTTGCTTGCAAGAGGAGTTTTTTCAGATTGTGAAAATGAAATAATTTGATTACTTTCTCTTGCAAAAACGAACTGCATACCATAATATTCTGCGTGGAAAAAAATTGCATTAAAATTTAACAGCTTGGAGTATAAAGGAAGCGGCTTGCTTTGTTGAGGCTAATAGCACTGGCAGTGGACCTTATCGAAATTGTCACAGAAGGAAAAAAACAGCGGCAGTGGACACCTTCATGGAGCATCGAATTTACTACTCGTTGAGCCCTACGCACATCCACTTCGATTCCGTCTGCTGAGCGTGTAATAAACAGTGTTAAAAAACTACATTATTCTTAAAGTTCGAACTGTTTTTATTACAGTAATTTATAGTGCAAAGAAGATTTATTTTAAAATACCAATTATTATGTTATTTGACTTCATTTGACGAAACTTATGCTCACTAAGATGACTTTGCTACAGTTTATAACGCGACTAATTGATAAAATTAAAAACATATTACATTTAACGTCAATTTCGTGTGTTACATAGGTAAAAACACAAAAAGCTTTAGATTTGTTATATTTCGTTTTTTTCTCAGTAATTGTACACAAACTCTACAATTCTAAATTAGAATTAGTTTAATTAATATTTTTAAACCGCTTAATCGATCCATAACATTAGTCTTCATGGAAATTTAATACCATTTTTGTCCCGCAAATTTAAAATTTATCGTTGCGTTATGTAAATGAGCTAAGGATAAACGAACTAAAAAATACGATGCGCATGAATTCGAATTTTTATTCCGAATTACGTAACTGTGGTTTGTCGAAATTGACAAAGTAGTACAAATTGTAAAGAGAAGGTGCCTACTTATTTGTTATTGGATAAGAACGTCGCCCCCTTTGCACCCGAAGAAAATGTACCCTAAATTTTGTTCAGTGTTAATGAAACCAAATTTCAGTGTAATATGTTCTTAGAACGCTACTACAGCACAACTACTTATTTGTTACGATGCCATTTAAAAGGTTTTATGGTCTCTGAAAAAATGTAGCAGGTGTCCGGGCTCCCGTGAGTTAAGGTTTTGCGTGGCCTTTAATCGAGTTCTACTTGAATGTTGCACTAAAAGTATCTTGATTTGTTGATACAGTTTAACTTCTTCTATAATTATGTAGTGTTCATCTTCGGTAGAATTTACCTGACTACCAATTACAGCACTATCTTGTAAGCAAAAACCACGAAAATATGTTGGCTGTAGACTGATTCATTATTTTTTTGCGTTGTCGGGATTCCCTGATGAGGAAACCGCCTAGACTGATTTTTATCTCTAAATTCTTAGTATCTACCACCTGCAGTTCACAGTTGTGACCAATACATACGCACAGAAACAAGTGATGAAAACCCAGTACATTTATTATGGGAAATAAAAGTTTCCTTAGCCTTCGACTATGATTAGTGTAGATTGATTTCGGGAATACTTTGTAATAGATTCACTCCTTTGAGACGAGGTTATCAATTTTTAAGTGACGGTACCTGTGTCATTTTTTTTGTAACTAGTAACAATATACACTTTTGCTGCTGACTAAATGAGCTTGACGGTGCTGTTATTTAGTTGTGCTAAGAAATGCACAATTCCACAAATAGAACGAATGTTGCGATTTCATATCGATATGATTTTTACGAAGACAGTATATAGACCTGTCAAGAGCTTATCTTCTTGCTGTCCAAAGCACTCAACTATATAATCACTACTAGTATCTGCGGTTCAAAGTATCTTACAGGAAATTGGCAAAATTGTTTGCTATTTTAATGCGTTTGCCGCCCTGCATCCATTTTCTATTATAATTTTTTTTTTTGTATAGTTCATTATGTAACTAATACACACTCTGTAGGACCAGAAGTTTGTAATGTTGTTGATATTCTGATACAAGAAAATGACATAAAAACACCAAGGAAAGTTTTAGTTCAATTATAGTTTATAATGTAAAATAGCCTCAAATTTTTGGAGAAATAATTGCACATTTATTGGAATATGTTTTTTGGTCAAAAATTTATAGTTCACGTCCTTATAAATATAGTACCATGCAAACGCACAAATACAAAATACTTTTTTTCTTGTACGAATAGATAGTAGTAGTTTCGGTTTTACTGTGAATTGCAATGATAATTTTCAAACAGTTGTGGTTTGTACTTTGGTCACTAAAAAAATCAACGCCATTCGTGGCTTACCAATAACGTTTTTTGTGACAGCAAGACTATTAAAGATATTTTTATGCGGTTTGTAGGCTTTGTCTGCAATGTAATTTAATTATTATTAAGTGCACATTAATAAATTTGTGGCGTGTACTTCCGCAGTACCAAGCGCCATTCATGATATTTTAAATCGATGGTGGTTATCACTACAGTCTATATGCTTGTATTTTGATCAAAATGAGTTAAAATGCTCAAATTTGTACAAATTTTTACAACTAGAAAATTGTCTTATGTTTAATTAAATACATATTTTATAATCATTATTTTCAGTATTTCAAAATTACAAAATTTCCACTCAAAACAATGTTTAGTTGCTGCGAAAATTCAATCCTTATTGTTTTCTAAAGATTAAGTCTTTAAATGTCTATTTTTCCAGAAACGTTTAGAATCTTTTTTATTTCTTTTCGTAGTTGTAATGTTGAAACTGACAGGACTAAATAAAAAAATAATCTGGGCACTTGTTAATTCTTTTGACCAATGATTTATCTAAAGTATATTATAAAATGATATCTGACGATGCAGTTATTCAACAAATGGCTAGACGACCGCAGAATTAGTTGTAAATACACATAACCCCGCTAAATTACCTCGTGGTTTCAATAAACTAATAGTTTTTTCTAAGCACAAACAAAATCATTTTTATTAGTTTACACCTAGAACATAGAATACAAAACGTGAAATTTTTTGGGCTACATTTGGATTCAAATTTGCGTTGGAACACACACACGTAGTGAAAAATTAGGTAATGAACGGACAAAATCTTGACGCACTTTATACGGCTTACAAATAATTGACAAATCAGGATAGAGTAATTTCATTTCGGTAAATTTATTCCGGGATTCTCTGTGGTACAGTTTAGTGGGGATTTTCTGTCTAAGTAACGTTATCTTTAGAATACAAAAAAGCTTTAAGAAACACTGTTGAAATTTCACTCCACACATCCTGTCGACCATATTTATAATATTGTAAATGCTGACACTCTCGTATCTACCTACATAAATTCTGCAATAACTGATGTATGTTAAAAAGAACAAGAATATATTTATGCATAGCAATTTTAACCACAATTATGTATATTACGAGAGACTGTAGTGAGCTTACCACATCTACACAATTTAAGTGCTTTTGAAAAAAGCGACATTTATATGAGAATAAAAATGTTTAACTTTCTATTTGTTAAAATAATTATGTGCCTCAAATATTTGAACTGCAAAATGTCATGTTCAAACTAACGCATCATGACTGTAATATGTATTTGTTTGGTTTTGTGTTTTGACGTTTCCAATTATTTGTTATTATTATACACTATGACGTAATTAATAAAGTATTAGCAATATTAGCCACAAATTAACAGACTGCTGGAGTGACAGCACACTGACTAAATCAGATTAAATACATACGTATTTATCAATGCATCACGGCATTAAAAGTTTTAAGAATAACTTCATAATTTTATTTAACAGAACTCATGTCAGTTTTTTCTAATTGACAACGATTTAAAATCTGTTTATACAACTAAAACTTGAAATATTTTGAAATCTTTTATCATTTGGTCAATGTACTCACTCCAGGCTTAGATTAAACCGCGTTGTGAACAATGATTTCGACATTAGCAAATACAAAAAGCTGATTATTTGTTGGTGACCAACCAAAGTCGAAATATTTTAATTGTCCAGTGGTTGCTCTAATCCACGTGCTTGTGGGGCATGTCGAGTTATTTCGTTTGATAATGTACGTGCAGATGGGAAAAATAGGCAAAATATAGTCTAATTCTACAATATTTCAATTTTTAAAATTCTATTCTATATACTGGGTACTTTTTTAGACGTTTTCATTGAAGCAATAGACACAGTGTTTCCATTGCTATTAATGGAAACGAGCGCACAGTGACAGTCTTACTAGTCAAAGAACGGGAACTCCGTGTTGTTGAATGCGAACACAAAAGTCTATTTTTTTATATACCTACCTTAATTTTAATAGTGTGAGTAGTTATCAAACAATTGGACATTTTTTTTGTAGGGAAAATATTAAAATACCTTCACGTTTCATGGATCGGTGGTTCATTAAGTGTTTTATAGGCAAAATGTTTACTTCTTCTGTGTTGATATCTGCAGAAAATATCCACAC